GCGAATATAAATAGGTTTTGTGAAATCATTACATTTATTTAAATGAAACTAATATTTTCGGATTTGCTGCGCGGTTTTTTATTCTTGACTATAAACTACATACTCCCGACGTTTCGGTTACTTTACAGCAACCGTTATCACGGGCAGACGAGATGTGAGTGTTATTACAATTATTTTTTATTTTAAAATATTAAGCTATGACGAATAATCTCAGTTATTCAAATAAACACAACATATTACATAACTTCTATTCATTAATTAATTATTAAACCATCCAATCTTAATATTGCAACTTAACAGTTTATAGAAAACATAATTGATTTACATTGATTACGAATTGGTTACTAATTTAGTTCTAGTTTTACAGAATGATTAATCGTCACATACAACAACACGTTACGAATTAACTTTTACTGTTCTTAGAACAAAAAATTTTGTTAAAGAAATCACTGACGCAATGGCGTTAGTGATTTGTTATGTCACTCTCTAAAGTAAAATACTTATGGAACAACTACCCCTAGGCTTTTAATTAATGTTGTTGCTCCGACATATTTGTTTCTCTACAAAAAATGTCTTGCATGTTCTATAACAGCATCCGTACCTGGGGTAAAGCGCTGAGAAAGTGACCATATTATGATAATTCACGCATTTCCTCACAATGGTTCTCTTGCATTTAGTTTATATCTGAAATATTCAATATATATGTTGCTTCTGCTGAGCTGACCTACTGAAAAAGTAGGTGTTGATAAAAAAAATTGCAGCTGTATTTTGTCTTATTAGCTTATAATATCTATCATTATCTACCAAGTGTTCTAAATGTGGAGCATCATATTGCTTGTAGAAAATTTTCCAGCATTGATAATGACATTCCGAGAGTAAATTTTTGTTGAAATATTTTTGAAAAACTAATTTATTATATCATAGAAATAGAATATTTATCTTGTTAAGGCTATCTCGGTTCAAGTCTCAATATTGTTTTTGCGTGGTTTTAAAATATATGTATTTTGATCAATTAATTATATTTTAGTGGGACTTTGATGCAATAGTTCTTCTTGACGTCGTTTAAAAGCCACAAAACTCATTTTATTGTATAATATTAGCGATAATACTGTGCATATCAATATCACAGTATCAATATTAAAAATTACCATCACCTACAGCGACATTAGCATAAGTTAATGTTTGTAGACCACGCCTAACTTGTACAACGTCACCATGCGATAATAACTCCTTACATATAAAACATACATCACTCATTTTGAAAACTGTTTAAGAGTAGAAAGGAACTAAAAGAAATTGTTTAATAGTTATAAAATAATTTTCATCTATACTAAACACAAACCGACAGACAGTAGCAGGTATAAAGTGAGTGTTGGGTCTCGCATCATTGAAATGGAACATCTATAAGTGTTATTCGAATAAGTTATGGTGACTTAAACTAAACCTCTTTAAGTTTATTAAAATGTAATACTATAGTGTTTACGCATCGCGTCGGCATGATAGGATTCTAGAAATCATACGTGAAGCGGTTAGTCTTTCGGTAGCCAGAGCGCAAAGGGAAATAACCACAAACGAGCGATCAATGGGTTTTGTGAGAGAGGGCACCAGGGCTATAAAATCAAATGTCAAGCCTTACTCTACCCTTAAAGCGGCTTCGGATTGAATTATAATGATGGATACGTATGAAAAACAATACAAAATCCCCGAGGATATTTGTACGTGGGCCTCCAGACCAGACATATTTTTATATTCGCAAATTTTGCGAAACCAACATTTTCAAAGACCAGGCCATCAAGGTCAATAAATATTACGAGTCGTGGATTTGTAAGCTGTAGAAGTGGGAGCGAGAGGTAAAACACCTAAATCTCTCTACAACCTACTAATTCTTGGGCCTATCCAGAACTCACATTAATTCATTCTTGGAACGTACTTCGAAGGCAGCCTTAGTAGGCTCTTTTCAAATTTAGTTAGGTAGAGAAAGGAGTTTGGACTGAGGAGGTGAGCGTTTAACGCGCGTTAGATAGGGGCCCCTTAAACCTACACCTGGTTTTAAAATACCAGGTACTGTTGAAGCTTCTCTTCCTGCAACGCGATGGACCCGGCATCCATTGGATGTTGAGAGGTTTCGTCTCTGGCAACTGAAACTGAAAAACTGAAAACTGTTGATTTTACAGAAAAATATAAGAGACATTTTTCCTGACAATTTGATTAGAAGTCATTTTTATACTGATCGCGATTGACTTCCGAGTAATATATGCGAGAAACAGATTTTCGTGACCTTTTGACCTCTGCAACTTTTTTGCCGGCACAATATAGTTCTCGATTTGTGATATCTCCGTAACAATACTGTTATAAAGGTGTATATAATAATAAAGTTTACTAGGAATTTTTAATCAGATTGGAGCTTAACGACTTAAAATGCCTTAACGACTGAACTAATTATTGGTCATCGAGAATGGTTGTATTTGTACGCTATTTATTTATTTCCTAATAATAGGATGTTTCGGTAAAATGTACATAGATTATGGTATCAAGTGCTCGAAGTAGTCTTTGAATGGCCAAAGTTATTATTAGTTTATTAACTGTTATACTTAGTGTGAGAGTGAAAAACAAAAATAGAAAATTATAGAAAAAAAAGTTTTCTCGAAGTAGCCTATATTGAATACAGTCTCCGGTACAGAATTCCAAAAATGTAGGCCAATTAACTTAACAGCACGTACGTTTTTTAACAAGAAAATCTTCTTTTCTTTTTAAATTTACTGTTTTAGCAAGTCCAGGTTAGCAAGCCTCATGAATCATAATCCAGTAGGTATCCAGTTTAGGATCAGGTGTTCAAGACCACTAGTCTGCAGCTTTGATGAAGCCAGAAACGTTCTTTTTCAACTATTTTTTCACTGCTTTTTCTGCCTCGTGATGAGACGTTATGAACAGCAAATAACAAAAATAATTTTTCATTTTTTCAAGTTAGATAAGTTAATCAGTTGTGTAATACATATAATTAGGCTATTTAGTTGTATAATATTATTAGGAACATTACGTTCTTGACTATGTATATGTACATATATTGAATTTCCAACTTTACATATTTTTATATATATGACTTTCAATTGATATAACTTGAGAATTTAGCTGAAAATTGGTGGGAAGGTAGAATTAGGAGGCCGACAAAGGATCCTTTTAATCCCGTTCGATTCGAAGAACAAAATTTACTTAATAAAATCCAAAATCTGCACATTCAGTGCCTATAAAGCGATATAAGGTTTGTCAGGTCAGTTATATATTTCTGATTCCGAAACAAACGTAGAAAAAGTCGTGGGCAGAACCTAGTATAAAATAAATAATATCAACGTAATGATGATATATCTTTTATTATATTTCATTTACGCATATATATTTTGTCTTATCTTATATGAACCTTTTTATTTTACTATATCATGTTATAATCATGTGGAAAACAGCTAATTTAACTTTGTTATCTTCCCAAATCAAATGACTCAGTATTTAGTAGATTATCAATAGTAAGTACGCATATCACAAATGATTCATTCGTGCGAATTAAATATTATTTAAAAAAATATATTAGGATCACATAATAATATAAGGACGAATTTTACAACAAACAAAAATAAATATATTTTGTGTACAAAGATATTACTGGAATTATACTCGTTTCTATATAAATATTTTTTTATATTTTTACACTAAAATCCTATTAGGTTTGTAGTAGTGTAGTAGTAGTAGTATTGAAATATACATAATGCATATGTAGATAGTACACAATATTTAATGTTATATTTTTATTTACAAATCACTATTGTTAAATTTTCCCTAACATAAAAGTCTGGGGGGCTGAAGAATAAACCGTTGGTATTTGGATGTGATTTCAAAATCTATTTTGACAGTGTAGAGTCTGCAAATACGTCGAAGGATATACGAATAGGTTGTCAACGTCTTCGCAGCCTGAAATATGGATAGTGGTAGCTCAAGCCGTACCTACGCATGTAAACCGTCTACTTGTTTCTTTTCTTGGGACATAAAAAATAATTCAACTCAAAACAAATAGGAACTTTGAAATATCTTTATAGTGGTACCTCCAAAGGTAGTTCCCAGGAGTTAAAAGGGTATATAGGGCTTCTGTTTTTTAATAACTGATAATATAAATGTATATAAAGTTATTGAGGAATGCATTTTATTACACTTACAAGAGTCCTTAATTAGAATTTTCGGCACTTCAGCACTTGGCAACTATCGCTCAGTTATTGTGTTTGGTAAATAATATATAACAATAGTCTCTTAACAACTAATTCATATTATCTTTCGCAAAAAGTTTTTTTATGATTTAACTATTAAGAAATATGTTTCCTCTAACGATAACAAATAATTATGAATTTATCTGTACAAGGAAATGTTTTATTAAGATTTTATAACACAGGGTGGGTGTTAGTTTTATTTGGTATATGGTTCCTTAATATGAGAAAAATGTGTGTTTATGAATTAGTTAGCAGGGAAGAATTTAATAGGTAAAAGTTTAGCAGACGAATTCAAAACAAGTATGATCTATTTGAATAGCAAATAAAAATATATGTAAATTCTTTTAAAACCCATATTTATCAGTAGGAAAAAAAAATCTTAAGAAAACAAGGTTAGAATATACTAGGAACAAAGACTTTTATACAAAAGACGACTATTCGTTTAAATGAAACTAATAGGTATAAATATTAAGCGTTGCGGAAAAGTAACCGAAACGTTATGAGTTTGTAGTTTTAAAGTAATAAAATATAAGACATCCGAATAATATTATTTTCATCTAAGGTTAGAATATTTTTCTTTTATAACAAAAAGTAACATTACGTATTAATCACATTTCGTCACAAATTTCATACCATTTCTGATAACAGCTAACGTTATATGCTAGCGATATTATAAATGACAGAAAGGTGCTAATTCGGCAGCGGTATGGTTGTGACTTGTTTTTAATGTTACAATTAAAATAAAAAACAATGAAGAACTCGAAATCTTACAATATTTCTAAGCTATCTGACGTCAAATTTGAGAAGAAAGATTCACCGGAATACATTAGCAGGTGAGTGTTTTGATATAATATTTATAAGGTTAAAAAGAATCGTTGAAAAAGTGTGTATGTAACCAAATTATAGTTCAGGAAGAAAACGTTAATACTTTTAACAACATTTAAAATCTTCAATCCTTATTTAGGACTGAAGTATTTAAGTAGATCTTTTAAAAAGTATCTATCTTAAATAAATATTCGAACAAAAGCAACGGATTCCTACAACTTTAATTCTGATTGAACAGCTTTTTAGAAAACGTCGTACAGTAAAATTCTAAATCTTTACTTTTAATTAAAATACCTGGAAAGAAAGTTTTATTATGTTTAAATTTACCCGCAATTTTAAGTAATTATTTAGTGAAAGCTAATCACAACTAATATTCTTCTCACTAAATCTCTTACAATAATTTTATATTCCTAAATTGAATCTATTAAGTACATATAACTATAATCTATTGTCTATTTTATATAATATAACGTATTTATTTAAAAGTATTTTTAATCTTCGGGTATAATTATTAGACGATATAGTCGCTGCCGAAGTCTTTTCTGTAGAACCTGGTTCTGGCGCTGAAATACACAATGATCCTCAAAAACTAATAAAATTAACATACAATTTATAATATTTTAAAGTTTTTTTTATTTATATAATTGAGATTAGACCTCTTGCTGTTACGTATGTATGTGTGTAATTTTTTGTTTATTGTATACTACTCAGTAGAATTATATGCTCTGTTGTAAGCAAATTATCAGTAAGTTGTTTATAATACTAATACTTAGTGGAATTATTCCATTAACACTATAAATACCATATTTTTTTATTTTATTTTTAATAGGTATATCTTGGAGCAGCTGTGTTACATTTGTCAGAAGTCTACATATAAAAACCATCTTTAATTATTTGTGAACAATAAACAAAAATTTCCATTATACTCGTATATCTAAAGCTAACATAGTACTTCAACATATAATTTTTTTGTACAGATTTCACATATATAACTTTCGAATGTACACGACAGCTCAATAATTATATATGTACGAATGGTTTAGTATTCTTGAAATATCTCAGATTTATATAATAATTTATAAAAGTATAGTTATGGTTTCGCATTTTATTTAATAAACATAAAATAACAAGACTTTAATAGCAATAGTCCGTTAAATTGAGTGTCTATTACAATACTGAATAATATAATCAAAATAATATAGTTTGTATACTTGGCGCAAAAGCTTTATACTACAAAATTTGTATTTTTCAGCGATCCGGTCAAAAAACCGACACAGCAAAATGATGATAAGGTATCATATATCTCATTGGTGAGTAAATACACGACAATTACGAGTAACAAATTATATTTGAAAAGTTTTTTAAAAGAAATTTTCTTATAATCTTTATTTTATTCCAGTTCCGTTTTGCCACAACGAAAGACAAAATATTCATATGTATAGCGATTGTAGCAACCATAGTATGTGGATGTACCACACCAGTTAATACGCTTCTATTTTCTTCGTTGCTTCAAAGTATGGTCAACTATGGAATATCATTAATAGTAGAAGACCCTCAACCAGATATATTTCTTGAAGCTGTACAGGAATTTGCTATATACAATGCAGTTTTAGGAATTGCGATTGTTATACTGTCATATATTGCAACAGTTCTCATGAACATCACCGCTTTTAATCAGGTATACATAATTCAATATCTACAACAAATAACCTATATATCTTTCTAATATTAACCATAAAAACAATATTCAGGTGTATCGGATCCGTCAGGAATATTTGAAAGCAACGTTAAATCAAGATTTTGAATACTTCGACACTCACAAAACTGGAGATTTTGCAAGCAAAGTCACGAGGTATGTACCACATATTACTTTTTGAATTCAAGACACGTTTGTATATTAGATCATACCTTACTAATAATATTAATGTTTCAGCGATGTTATTAAACTAGAGGATGGTATAGGAGAGAAACTAGCGACCTTCATATATTACCAAGTGACATTCATAAGCTCTATAATAATGGCGCTTATAAAGGGTTGGAAACTAACACTCTTATGTTTGATCTCGCTTCCTGTCACTTTAGTAATAATTGGAATGGCCTTCTTCGTAAGAATTTATATTTCTAATATATGATATATTAAAACCCAAATAAAAATGTAGTTAGATGACTAATCAGTGGTCACATTTCTATTTTACAGCTGTCATCACGACTTGCATATAAAGAGGCTGTTGTATCTGCCCTGGCTGGTTCTAAGGCTGAGGAAGTACTATCATCTATAAAAACAGTGTTTGCTTTTAGTGGACAACAAAAGGAACTAGAAAAATATGAAGGTTATCTCTCGGAAATCAGAAGCACCAATATAAAGAAAGGTAAAAATTAATGATAATTATTTGAGGGTATTTAATAAGGGGAAGATGACATTTTTCGAATTAAAGTAAATTTTATATTTCAGGTATATTCAATGGTGTGTTGATGGGATCAATATTCCTATGTTTATTTGGATCTTACTCTTTATGTTTTTGGTTCGGCTACCAGCTCATGACGGATGAACCAGAAAATTATGACGTGGAAATTATGGTTGCTGTAAGTTAAAAGACTTATTAATAACCCATAAAAATGTATGATTCTTTTGCACAACTTTTTTAGGTTATTAAAAAATTAAAAAGTGATACTCAGATAACTACGAAATATTTGATAAATACAGCTTACGTAACAGAATATAATAAATTAATATTTATTGTTATAATTCTGTTTTGGCTAATCCATCAACGTGATATATTACTCAGTGAAACTAAAAATATCTTTTATTGTTGTCGACAACGTAAGGTCCCCCAAATTTTACATGTTCATCCAAAATAATTGCAGGTACTATTTGGTGTATTGATGGGCACAACAAACTTTGGTGTATCCACCACTCTAATGGATGTTTTCGGAGTCGCACGTGGCGCCGGTACACAAATCTTTAATTTAATAGACAATGTCCCCAAAATTAATCCATTACTAAATCTTGGAATCGTCCCAAAAAGTATGGAAGGAAACATTGAATTCAAAAACGTTTCATTCCATTATCCTTCTAGACCCAACGTCAAAGTAAGTTCCAATACCTCATGATTAGTTTGTATTATATATATCTGTTGGAATAAAAATATGTTTGTAATTTTTCTTTTTTTGAATCTTTGAGTGCAGAAATAAATGAATGTATTTTTTATAGATATTAAAGGGAATCAACATCAGTGTCAGCAAAGGGCAATCAGTTGCGTTAGTTGGACATTCAGGTAGCGGCAAGTCTACTATCGTACAACTGATATCAAGAAATTATGACGTAATAGGTGGCAGTGTAAGTATTATTAATTGACTAACAAGATATTGTCCATGTCGGTTTCTATGTCCGAATACAACTAAAGAGTCAATATATTTCTGATTCTTCCCACGCAAATATCAAAACATTACATGGTCTCCAATCTTGACTTTTTTGTTAAGTTCGACCACCATATCCACTTTTTGACTAAATATGAATTAATTATAATTTAAACAATAATTAAAAAAGATTGTTCCAAACAAAGTTTATTAAAACAACAATCAATACATTTTATTTCTAAATGATTTTAAAATATGTTCCAGTAAAAAATTAAAGCTAATTTAAAAACACACAGGTCCAAATTGATGGTAATAATGTCAAAGATCTTTCGGTGAGGTGGTTGAGATCTCAAATCGGTTTAGTTGGTCAGGAGCCGGTCCTCTTTAATACGACAGTCAGAGAGAACATCAGGTATGGCCGGGAAGACGCTACTGATGAAGAAATAGAAAAAGTCGCTAAGCAGGCTAATGCTCACGAGTTTATCATGAAACTTCCACTGGTATGTATAAAATTACATAATTTTATAGTAATTATTTATTAAAAAATCTTTTTGTGATATTTCAGCTATTATACAGGGTGACTGGTGAATTACTATCGATATTTGAGGACGTGATATTTGACGATCATATATGACAAAATAAAAATTAATATAACATAAATATTAATAAACTTCTAAGTAAAGTTAACCAAAAGTTATGTAATTAATTACGCATCGTATGAACACCCTACAGATTAGGTATACACACACACTCACACAGACGCGGCGGCGGCGTAGTGTTGTATCAGCACGCCGCCACACGCGTCCACACTAGGAACACTTGGAACGTGTACACACTTTATTTATTTATACGGAAATTTTGTCAAAAATTAAGTGCCTATTTTTTTTACATAATTCGAATGAGAATCATGTACCGAGTATGCTCCTTAAATATTGATAGTAATTCACCAGTCATCCTGTATATGGAACCATATATAGTTTATGCTGCATATTCTATTTTAATATGAGTTTTTAATTTTAAATGATTTCAGGGTTATGACACAGTAGTTGGTGAGCGAGGTGCATCGATATCAGGAGGTCAAAAACAAAGAATTGCCATAGCTCGAGCACTTGTACGAAACCCAAAAATATTATTGTTAGATGAAGCCACCAGCGCGTTAGATACAACCTCAGAGGCCAAAGTGCAAAAAGCTTTAGATAAAGTAACATATTTTTCTAAATATCATAAATTTTGAAATATTATTAATAAATTAATTACCTAACATGGTTTTAAATTTTACAGGCCCAAAAAGGTCGAACGACAATTATTGTCGCGCATAGACTCTCAACAATAAGAAACGTGGACAAAATTTATGTTTTTAAAAAAGGAGATGTAGTAGAAAGTGGAAGTCACGATGAACTTATGGCCAAAAAAGGTTATTTCTATGATATGGTGATGCTTCAAAGATCACCCAACCATTCAAATGAGAAAGGTATGTATTTAGAAATATGAAAAAAAAAACAGAATTCATAACATTCATTCAATAATTTTCACTTTGCTAATAAATTTCCACTTTAATTGGCTAAAAATTTTCATTATTATTACTCTAACCCTTTTTCGATTTAGGTCATTTTAAAATTGTTTTTGTTTTATGCTAAGTTGATGTATTACCATAATTAAATAATATTTTCGTTGTATTTACCAGATATGAACAACAAATTCGAAAGAAGCGTGTCAATCCTGAGTGAAAAAGAAGAAGAGGAACAGGTTGAAACGAGAATTCAAGTAAGAATAGTCATATCGTCAATTTTACTTAAATTGTTCTACTGAGTTATCGAGAATAATGTTTTTTTTCGGTTTCTATACTGATATTAAAATATTTTCATCAGAACGTAGAAGAGGCTAGTACAAATGAAGAAGTTTCCTTCATGCGAGTTCTGAAACTGAACTCGCCGGAATGGAAGTCCATCTCTGTGGCCAGCATATGCGCAATTCTGAGCGGTTTTGCAATGCCATTGATGGCAATTGTAATGGGAGACTTTATGGGGGTAAATATAAAATTATATTATGATATCTGAAAATATGCAACCGTGATTACGGTTGCTGCAAAATAACTGAAACGTCAGGGATGTGTATATATACAAATAATAAAAAAATAACGAGTAGTAATATGAGAATATAAATTTCATTTCAATCAAATTATATTGTCCAAGAAGAATCATGTATTTAATTTAAAAAACTCACTGTGTGAATATCTGACATTGTGTGGATATCTGAGTTTTTTAATTTAATTTGAAAACTTAACACATACACACACAAACTTCGGATATATAAAAATAATGTCAATTATAATGTGATTTAGTGTCATTTTAAATTCCAAATTCTGGTAAAAACTATAAAACTTTTTATTTTGACACTTCACTCATTGGTATTTTTAATTTTTTTGGCTTAAAAATCCTTAATTTTAACAAGTTTTTAATCAGTGTCACACTCTCAACGATGGCAAATCTATAGACTATTCACATGAAATTATTATAAGCTCTTTAAGCTCTAAGACAAATAAATATACATACAAGCATAGGTACATCTGAAAAATATAAACATCTTTTGCAGTCGAGGAAATTAAATTAAATAATTGTTTGCCCCCTAATTGTTGGCATACACTCGCTTCATCATAATCAACTGCTCTTCTTATTTTGCAGATTCTATCCGATACTGACAAAGACTATGTATTATCTGAAGTAAAAAAATTGGTGCTGATATTTATGGGTATCGGAATATACTCAGGAGTAACAAACTTTTTAGTGGTAAAATACTAAATATTAATCAAAGTTTGTATAAATATTCAATTCAATACAAAACTCATATTAACTTATTTTATTGCTTTCAGGTGTTCATGTACGGAATAGCTGGAGAACATTTAACATGCAGGTTGCGAAAATTGCTATTCCAACATTTACTGCAACAAGAAATCGGATTTTTTGATGATAAAAATAATTCAACTGGAGCTCTTTGTGCTCGAATTTCAGGAGATGCTGCATCAGTACAAGGGGTAAGAAAGACTTCAGATAAAAGTTTATGTCACAAAAATTTTGAGATGTTTTATCAATATTGAATAAAAATAAAATTGTCTAATTTTTCGTAGGCTACAGGTCAAAGAATAGGAACAGTTTTACAAGCTTTCGGAACACTTTGTTTCTCGTTGATAGTCTCACTATACTATGAATGGCGCCTGGGTTTGGTTGCTCTAGCATTTGTTCCTATTATGGCTGCAATAGTTTATAAGCAAGGCAGAATGGTAAATGCGGAATCTTTTGGAACAGCAAAAACAATGGAAAAGAGTTCTAAGGTGAGTAAATTACAGATGTTTTGAAGAAAAATCTTAAAAATAAAATAGTACTACACGTGATTGATAATAATGACATTTTTTTGTAATGATATCTTTTTGTATTTTATTAAAATCCAAATGACATTCAATTACGAAAGACTTTTTAACATAATAGTGTCTTTGGTAGTTATTGAAAAAATAAATAAACCGTTTTGGATATTCATAATTCTAGAACTATTCTTCTTATTCCGTTTTTTATAAACATACATATTTTTTATTTATAGCTCGCAGTAGAAGCTGTAGCTAATATACGTACAGTGGCATCACTAGGCCGCGAACCAATTATATTAAGCGACTACGCTATCCAGCTTCTGCCCGCACTTGAACTTGCTAAAAAATCATCACATTGGAGAGGGCTTGTTTTTGGATTATCTAGAGGGCTTTTCAACTTGGTATACTCCGTTACCATGTTTTATGGTGGTCAACTGATAGTGTACCAGGGTGTTGATTATAACATAGTACTTAAGTAAGTGGAAATATTAATACATATGTATGTAGATTTAATTTCATATGTATTGTAAAAATTAACGAAATTTCTTTCGTTTTTTAGATCAGCTCAAACTTTATTGATGGGATCGTCATCTGCAGCGCAAGCTCTTGCATTCGCACCTAACTTCCAAACTGGAATAAAGGCTGCGGGTCGTATTATCGTAACCTTAGCAAGAAAATCAAAAATCACGGATCCAGTGAAACCTGCAATAGAAAACTTTGTATGTAAAACTTTTTCGGGCTTAAAAATCATTTGGTTTTGTGTTTTACTTATGAGTAATTCATTTTCCAGAGAGGAACAGGTGAAGCAACGTTAACAGATGTAACATTTACTTATCCGACCAGGCCGTTAATACAAGTATTGAAGAATTGTAACTTAGAAATTGAGAATGGGAAAACAGTAGCTCTTGTCGGTGGGAGTGGATGTGGCAAGAGTACTATCATACAGTTACTAGAGAGATATTACGATCCCGACGAAGGTGTTGTGGTAAATACAATTTTGTTAATACGTCATTACTTCCAAAAACTATATCATAACTAGTTTTTCCCCGCGACTTCGTCCGCATTAGTTTGGTCAAGAGTAATATAATATGTAGGTATAGCTGACCAGGCGAACTCTATTCCGTCTTAGAGGCCATAAATAATCAGGTTTTTCCTGTTTCAATCAAACAGAATGATTGACATATTAGTTAGTTGTCAAATCCAATGTCAAAAAAAACGTTTGTATGGGAAATAGAAAAGGGCTGTCTTTAGGGTTTTCCCGGCAATTATTCCAATTTTTATCACCTTTTAAACCTTCCCTGGACTTCCAGGAGTATTTCAGGACTAAAATTAGCCAAATCGGTTCAGCCGTTCTCGAGTTTTAGCGAGACTAAGGAACAGCAATCCATTTTTTATATATATATATATATATATATATATGTAGAAGATTAAATAAAAATAAATGTTTATTTGCTTTTCAGGCTCAGAATGGAACTCCCCTCCCAAATCTCCGTTTGGTGGACTTAAGACAGTCTATAGGTTTTGTGCAACAAGAACCTATATTATTCAACGGCACCATTAAAGAAAATATTGCTTACGGTGACAATTCTAAAACACACAGCATGAATGATATAATTGAAGTGGCTAAGCAAGCTAATATACACAACTTTGTCGTATCTTTGCCAATGGTAAATAATTTTTTTTGAATACCAACATATATACTGTAAAAATTCATTAACGTGAGAAAAATTCCAACCTGTATGCAATATTGCATTCCAATTGCTTTATCAAAAGAACGTGTCGTGTCATGTTGGAATGGAGACGCTATTTATTCGATTTTCTTATAAAAAACCTAATCTATGTTTTCTAACTTTACCATGTAGTAGAAACATTGTGAAGATGACATCACTGATATTAGTCTGATTTGTTTTATTATATAAATTATAAAGCATTATTCAGATAATATTTTTAATGAATTATTTTAACTATTAATTCAACAGAGATACTACATTCAATATGATTATAAACACTAGTGTCAATAAAAAAGGATAAATTCTAAGATATATTTCTTGCATATAAAAATATATTATTAGAAAACTTCATTAATAAAAATAGTACAAGTAATCATTTCTTTAATTACAGGGTTATGATACCGATATAGGTTCAAAGGGTACACAATTGTCTGGAGGTCAGAAACAAAGGATAGCCATAGCTAGAGCTTTAATAAGACGTCCAAAAATGTTATTACTAGACGAAGCCACTAGTGCCTTGGACACAGAAAGTGAAAAGGTAATTGTTTTGATTATGCTCAAGCCTGATTTATACATAATAACTCTATATGTCTTCATTCATACTGGATTTGTATAATAAGTTAAATAAATACATTTTTCAAGTTATTTGATGGACAGATATGATATGATCTGTCATCTATAGTAGATTTTTTCCTCCCTATTTCTTGTTACATAACAATAGTAATAGTAATATTTAAATAAACGTCTTTATTCATTTCGACAAACTTCTTCGAGTTTTCTTACACTACATTCTTCCAAGAAATAAAAACTATGACATTGGTCAAATATTCCCCCATTCCAGTGTGAATGAAGCCATAGCCCATAGCTAACCTGTCCAGGTTGTAAATGCTCGCATTACTATGACTATTAATTTTAATTGTAAATTTAATTAAAGTGTACTTGTATAATACGTTTGATTACATCGTATAAGTTTGTTATGTTTGTATTAATTATAATTTATTCTCCCACAAATTACTTCATACTATCGATAGCATCTTTAGTTTTGTCAATTTTATTTATTGTTGTATTTAATTCAGGTGGTTCAAGAAGCCCTGGACGCAGCTAAAGCTGGTCGTACGTGTGTCATGATCGCTCACCGACTGAGTACAGTTCGTGACGCTGACGTTATATGTGTACTCAATAATGGAAGTGTCGCTGAGCGAGGAACGCACGCAGAGCTACTAGAACTCAAAGGACTTTATTATAATCTGTATAAACGGGGATACTCGTGAACATGTATTATATTTTCTGTACTAATTATATATTAAGTGTAAATATTTAATTTATATAATGTTGTATTTTGTAAGTATAAATATTTTTAAGTGCAAACTTATTTGGTAAGATATTTTTGATATAGTATGTTGTATTGTATAAAGTTGTCTTAACGCATTGAACTTTTTTATTAGACTTTAATAGCAAAACCGTAAAGGTTTCTATAATAATTGTCTCTTTATAAAGACATTTGTTTTTCTTTAAGAAACTTAATATTGATTTGGGCAAATGTTCGCTATTATGAATTTTACTGGGTGTTTTCAATACAATACAATATTAATAGGAATAATTATCTTTTGAATCTCAAAATATCTAACCTTCATAGATATGTTGACAGAACCTAATCCTACAGTCCTGAGAATATGCATCACTCTATTTCGTCAATATCAGTATTACTACATTATGACACCGAAAATTATTTGGCAGCACCATTTCGATTTAGTCGGCTCTTTAATAATGCTAATTATGACGTCATCGTTTATAATTTATAAATAGTAAACTGAACACTGAAAGTACATTTTATAATATACTCGTATCATTATGGGTGTTAAATAGACGAGACTAAATCTTTCAGCATTGACTTATTGTGCACTTCAACAGTGCCTGGGACCTGCGACCCAGGTGTAGGTTTAAGGGACCCCTTTCTAAAGCACTTTAAAGTTTAAACGCTCACCTCCACTGTCCAAGCTCCTCTCTCTACCTTACCAAATTTGAAAAGAACCTACTAGGGCTGCCTTCGATGTACGTTCCAAGAATGAATTAATGTGAATGCTGGACAGGTCCAAGTCTTTTAGTAGGCTGTCGAGAGATTTAGCTGTAACACCTCTCCCTCCTATCTGTACCGTGAATAAATTTACGATGCTTCTATTCTTAGTTGATTAGTTACTGAGCTCGTAAAATTATTATTTTTTTAAATTCTAGAGTTAATAGCATAAAAATTTGTATGATTAATAGCGTAAAATTTTCCTAAGTGGTTCTCAAACTCTTTAATACATATCACTGAAGAATTGTAAAACACAAATAAAGTACCTTGTCAAAAAATGGATCAAAAAATCGACTCGAGGAAGTAGTGTTTTATGTGTATTATGGGAACGTTCAAGTTCAAAGGGTCTTATTTTTCAGTCCGTTTTCGAAATTTATCCTGACTCTGTATATAATTTACCTCTAAATAGTACTTCAACTTACGATTATAATAAAATGTTAATTCAGAAAACTCATATAAGTAACAATAATGTATAAAAATATCTATAATCTCAACCTCAACAAACGCCTGGGCTCAGACTCTTTTTATCCGTCATTTTTTAAAACACATTATAAAGAACTATATGTTCCTTTATTTATTATATTTAATACATCTTTAAATTCATGTAATTGGTACCATCAGGAAAGATTCTATAATAGTTCCGATGTATGAAATGTTAAACATGTAAAAATATCCTATCCAGGGCGGGAGAACCCAGGGTCCGCTTTCCTCCTCAGTCATCAGAATTGCGAAATGATTTTAGATTTCGTTTTGTCATTGTCAATTGCGAAATGATTTTAGATAACCATTTGTGATACACTTTTTCCAATACTCCTTTTTTTACAACTACTCAGCATCGATTAACTAAAATGGGAGCAGATTTCAGGCGAATGTCGTGCACTCAGACTATTCATAGGCATTAGATAAAATTTCACACTCATTATTCATTGAAAAACTTAGGCTTTGGGCGTATATAGTGATCTCCAACATTGGTTAGTCCTCCATGAGGTATGAAACTCAAGTAATGGCAATAAATTGATTTAAATCTTTGTTCTAATATTATATATTTATTAATGATAATCAGACTTGAATTAAGCTCTCAAACATTTTGCAATAATTTGATAAAAGACACGTCATTACATTTTGCAAGAAAAAATACCTACGACCTATAATTATCACATACTTGGTTATCTGGCAAGGGTGACTGAAATTAAAGACCTTTATGTAAATCTTGACCAGGGGCTTATTTTTGGAAGACATATCGAAAATATTGCTGCGGGAGCCTCCAAAATGTTAGGTTCACCGTTCAACAGAGTGGTGCTTTTAATATATTTACAACTAGCTGTGCCCGCGACTTCGTTCGCGTGGAATAGTGACTATGAGCAGCGTTTTTTTTTAAATATATACTTATTTTTATTTTAGATCATCATCACAGTAATTTTGTTTAGCTAAAAAGCCTACTTTACTGTAATGCTTCTCCATATACAATATTAGACGTATGGCCATCGTATATATGTTTGTATAAGCATAGAATAGTGTTCGACGTGATTCTTTAATTTTTTATTTATGAACCGATTGACATGAAACAAACACTAAAGCATAACTGAAGCATACGACAATATATTCGTAAAAACCGTATCCAACTCGGATCAGCCGTTTCTGAGATTAGCGGGAACAGACAAACAGACAAAAAAAAGTTAATTACATTTTGGGGTTCGACATCGACATAACAATAACCCCTATAAAAATAGAAAACATTCAAAACAGATATTTAAAATGGGTTTCTTCCTTATCATTCGTTGGAGTAAACGTAAGTATATATATATAACTTTAAATAATATCTTAAACGATTCCATTGATTCAGTACAAAAATTTAATAAAATTCGACTAAATAGCTTTCATCCAACATCACGTCATAAACACACATTTTTAGCTTCATTATGTAAAACCAATTATCACAAAAACCGTTTTCTGGTAACAATAATCTTCCATGCATTAAATGAAATTCAAATTTAAAATCTTAATTCCAATTCTATTTGTAGTTTACAAAACTCTTTAAATTATATAAAAAAATATAAAATTCTAATGTAGTGTTCGTATTTCTTTTTGTTTTTCTTCTTTAAAAATGAGTATAATTTATAAAGAACCTTGAATATGTATGTTTAATATCCCACAGTTGTTCATGTTAATCAAAATCTTTTTATTACTTTTGTATTTTCTCTTAATATAAGGCATTTGTAATTTAAACACTTCCTAATAAAATGAACAGTTTGTTAAATTTTTTATAATCTTAAAAGAAAACACATTATAATATATGCTGTATTTTTAAATGAAAATATATATATATCAAATGTTCCTAAAAAGTTAATCAAATTTTACCGATGTTTTCTCAACCGATATTTAGTTGAAAAGTATTATAATATAATACCGGTTTTTTTATAACATCACTCATTTAGTATAGTAATTGTCTTATTTTTTTTCAATCTACCTTCATCTTAAAGTATTAATGTGTTAATGAAATGACAAGTCTTCGAAGTTTAACATATTTCTATCTCAGTTTGGTATTTTTCTCATCAAACTCTCCTGATCAAAAGAAAGGTATGTATTGAAATTCTTAATACCAGCCTTTTTTGACTAAAATAAATACATAAATACCATTTTTATGTCAAATTTCGTTTGAAATAAGACCGTCTGCCAAGGGTTCAACCATATTAATAAGTTTTTTTTATATTCACGTAAAGTGCAATTTTTACAATTGAAAGAAGGTAACGATGCTGAAAATTTTAAAAATTCTTGTTCATGGTCGAGCTCCATTAATTAACGTGGTATTTATGTATTTAGTTTATCTCTTTCAAAATTTGTTAGAAGTAAATTAAAACTATGATTATGAGCGTGGGGTGATATTTTTTAACATTTCATACAGTGAAACCTATAATGATAAAGAAAAAACATTAAAACTAACCTAATATAAACCTTATAAAGTGTCACATTGAAAATCGTAACAATCACAAAACATTTATTTTAAGGCCACTGTCAAATAATTTTTTAACTATATTTGTATGTATGTGTATAAAATAGTGACATAAAAAATGCTTTTCATTAAAAAAAGCTCGGGAACAAACTATTAACAGCTTTTTAGTTTAGGTAATTTGATAAAATTGGCAAAAAGGGTCACCAGATTACATAAAAATATTCAATTAAAAAAACAGCTCAAGAGAAAAAGAAACCTCGAAAAAACAAGAGAGTAAAAACTTTAAAATATTTTCCTGATTAATATCAATTACAATAATAAATATCATTAAAACAATGCGCTTTATTTGCAAAAGGAATGACCTGCAAATGTTCTAGGGGTGATGAAAAAATGTCGTCATAAATAACAATATCACAATCTTTTAAATTTACCAATAAAAAAATACGTTTAACGAAACAAATCCCTTAACCCTGAATTCGTCAACTAAAATTAAAGAGGTCTAAGATTTTCGCGAGTATTCATTTAAATGCAACTAAAATAAATGAAATAATTAGTTTCATTTAAAACTAAAATTAACAGAAAATATGTTTAGAATTCATTAAAACAGTAATAATCAGTATGCTCATTACAATCTTGCATCGTCACCTACATACGTTAATATTTATAATATGCTATGAATTATGAATGAAAAACTTGGACATGTCAAATTTGGATGTAAATTCATACTTCTCATTTATAGTCCTAAATCTACATCAAGGAAACACAATTACTGTAATGACATCTAAGATTTTCGCGAGTATTCATTTAATTGAAGCTAATGTTTTCGGATTTACTACATATTAATGTCTTCTTGACATGACACTGTCATTTCGTCTACCCGTGTTTATGGTGGCTAAAAGTATCGGAGTATATTATTTAGAATAATAAAAAGGGTATTATGTAATCCGAAAATCTTAGTTTTATTTAATTTTATTTAAACAACATTATCGTTTAATAGATTGCCATTGATTTATAATTTAAAAAATACGATCATATTTTGAATAAGACACAGAACGCGGATGTTTCTTTGTTATATATTAACTGAGGATTCAATTCATTATTATTAATTGATCTTTAATGTGAATCTAAAGTCAACTAAGCTTCTTTTTCCGCACAACTTGAGGTTTTAGAGTACTCTGTAATCTGTTTCTACTAATATCGGGCCGAACTAAATATCTGGTCTACTAGGCGGTTGAATAAGTTCTTAG